TATTGTCAAATGATGATGCATGGAGGGGATTGCAATCATTGCAATGAAACAAACTATGATAGGATGAATGTAAACTTGATGTTCTCCCATATAAATTATCACTCAATTCACAAACACACACAAAAACTAACTAACTAAATAAATAAATAAAAGATTTACAGCTTCTGAAACAGAGTTGCTATGAGTCAGAATCAACTTGATAGCAGTGGGTTTTGCTTGGGGGCAGTGGGTGAGTTTTAAAAATAAGGATTTAGATTGGTAAAATTCCAAATAAGGGGTTTTAAGATCACTAAACACTAGGAAGATATTTGGTGGCACAGTAGGTTAAGCATTGGGCTGATGTCTACAAGGTCACAGGTTCAAACACATCCGCAGCTCTGTGGGAGCAAGATGAGGCTATCTGCAACTATAAAGATTTACAGCTTCAGAAACCCTAAGATATAGTTCTACTCTGTCTTTACTGTCACTATGGGTCAGCATCGAGTCAATGGGATTATGTGTTTTGATGCCATGAGTGTTGATGCTTGCTCAACAGCAAAATGGTCTTTGACCACTTCAATGTTTTTTCCACTTATGTAGATGCTGTTTATTAGTCCCGTGGTAAGGAATTCTGTTGTTGTTTTACATTCAGCTACAACCAATAGAAATGGTCATGATTTTTTATCTCCATCAGTAAATATTGTAAGTCTTCTTCGCTTTTAGCAAGCAAAGCTGTATGATCTGCATATTGCAGGATGTTAATGAGTCTTCCTCCAATCCTGATGCCATGTTTTTCTTCATATAATCCAGCTTCTTGGATTATTTGCTCAGCATACAGATGGAATAAATGTGGTGAAAGAATACAACCTTAGTGCACACCTTTCTTAATTTTAAACCATTTGGTGTTCCCTTGCTCTGTTAGAACAATAGCCTCTTGGTCTTTGTACAGATTCTGCATGAGCACAGTTAAGTGTTTTAGAATACTTATTCTCCACAGTGTTGCCCATAGCTGTCATGATCCACACAGTCAAAATCCTTTGCCTAGTCAGTAAAGCACAGATAAACGTATTTCTGGTTTTCTCTGCTTTTAGCCAAGATCCACTACACCTCTGTCAGTTTATCTTGCTGTCGCGGCTTGCTTATTGTTGTATTTCTGGAAAATATGCCACTGGTATTTTAGATACCAGTAGAATCACCCAAGGTATACAGGTTTCAGGTGAGCTTCCAGACTAAGACAGAAATCATTCTATGACTGCAAATAAGGTGTAAATCCCACTATCAATCTCGACCCTGAAATCACTTTCATCACTTACTCACATTAATGCTTGTATTTCATACTGAAATAATCAAGGCAATGATTCTCTTACACTCATGAGTCTGTAAGAAGTATTTTTTGAATGTGACCAGTATTTCTTTTCCAGAACAAGATTTTATCTTTAGTGAATTCAATGACACATTGTATTTCTCTAAGTCCATCCTAGAATGCTGTGATGATATATTAAGCAGGGATCTAGAAATCATCAAATTCCATTGTCATATTGATCCTTTTTGTGAATCACCTCTCTTTATAAATCAGTTGAAGTGTTAATGAAAAAAGGGATTAGATACTAGGTTTCTGGTAAATTTCTTCTAGCAGAATTTCCTAAATTAACATGATTTTTACAAATATAAAGTACTAGAAAAGTTACAGACTTAGTCTTTAAAAAAATAATTTTGCTATGTTTTAGGTAAAAGTTTATGCAGCAAGTTAAGTTTGCATGCAACAATTTTTATACAAATAGTTCTGTGACATTGGTTATAGTTTTCACAGTGCATCAGTATTCTCATTATTTCCTTTCTGTTTATTCTATTTTCATTTAGCTAACTTCCTTTCCCTTCTTTAAAAGCGAATCTTTGCTTTAGGGTTAATGTTGACCTAATATAATTGATGGTTTAAGGGAGCACATCACTTATAGGCTATATTGTTTATTTTTTACACCAATCTATTATTTGGTTGAAAGATGTCCTCCAAGCATAAAATAGATCCAATTTCAGAGGGCATCCTGGGGTGATAGTGCCAGAGATTCCTTTAGTCTTTATCAGTCCTGTAGATCTGGTCTTTTCGAGGAATTTGAATTTTGACCCACATTTTCCTTCCATAGTATGCGGTGCCTTCCTTCTATTGTGTCCCTGGTAAGAATAGTATGCTACACTTCTTCTGTTCTTAGGTTAGGAGAGGTTGTATCTTGTATAGGGTAGTAGTCCTGTGGACTAGTTTCTTCATTGAGTCTTGTGTTTCCTTCATCCTCTTTTGTTCTAGATGAGTAGAAACTAGCTGTTGTTGTTAAGTGACTTTATACTGGTGCCGACTCATAATAACTCCATGCACAACAGAAAGAAGCATTGCCGAATCCTCTGCCATCCTTGCAACTGCTTTTACACCTGATCCCATTCCTTCTGCCACAGTTCCAATCCTTTTCATTTTGGGTCTTTCTCTTTTATGCTGACTCTCAAATTATCAAGTATGATGTGCTTCATCAGGGACTTGTCCGTCCTGATAATATATGTCTGAAGTATGAAAGATGAAGTCTTGTCTACTGGCTTCTAAGGAATATACTGGCTGTACTTCTTCAAACACAGATTTGTTTGTTCTTCTAGCAGTCCATAGTACTATTAATATTCTTCTCTAATGCCATCACTCAAAGGTATCAATTCTTCTTTGGTATTTCTTATTTATTGTCCAACTTTTCACATGCATGAAGCTACTAAAAATGTGATGGCTTCAGTCAGGCACACATTAATTCTAAAACTGCCATCTTTGCTCTTGAACACTTTCAAGAGGTCTTGTGCAGAAGATTTACCTAATGAAATTTGTCATTTGTTTTCTTGACTGCTGCTTCCATGAGTGTTGATGGTTGATCAACAGCAAAATGGTCTTTGACCATGTCAATGTTTTTTTCCATTTATGTAGATGCTGTTTATTAGTCCAATAGTGAGGAATTTTGTTGTTGTTGTTTTGCATTCAGGTGCAACCATAGAAAAGGCCGTGGTTTTTTATTTCCATCAGCAAGCAAGGTTGTATCATCTGCGTATTGCAGGATGTTAATGAGTCTTCCTCCAATCCTGATGCCATGTTTTTCTTCATATAATCCAGTTTCTTGAATTATTTGCTCAGCATACAGATGGAATAAATATGGTGAAAGAATACAACCTTAGTGCACACCTTTCCTAATTTTAAACCATTCAGTGTTCCCTTGCTCTGTTAGAACAATAACCTCTTGGTCTTTGTACAGGTTCTGCATAAGCACAATTAAGTATTTCAGAATAATTATTCTCCACAGTGTTGCCCATAGCTGTCATGATCCACACAGTCAAAATCCTTTGCCTAGTCAGTAAAGCACAGATAAATGTTATTTCTGGTTTTCTCTGCTTTTAGCCAAGATCCACTACACCTCTGTCAGTGTATCTTACTGTGGTGGCTTGCTTATTGCTGTATTTCTGGAAGATATGCCACTGGTATTTTAAATACCAGTAGAATCACCCAAGGTAGACAGGTTTC